CCCCCCACCGCAGCCAGAGCCCCAGCTGGCCGTCCCCCACAGCTGGTTCCTGTCCCACAGGGTCAACTCGCAAGTGCTCCTGTTGCAGCACCCTGATTTCCAGAGGGCGCATCCCGCCGCCGAGGAGCCAGGCGCCCTCGGAGGCGATGCTGGCCTCTCTGCCAAGCAGCAGAAGAAAAGGAAGAGAAAGAGACGTGTGAGCAGTCTGCGCCCCCCGAGAGGGGCCGGGTCCCAGGACACGCCGGGTGAGCAAAGCTGGTGGCTGCAGCCGCACAAGCTGGGCTAGGCTGGCACGGCCTGTGCTTTAGCTGACTCGTCTCAGGAACGATGCTGGTCTAAGGCTGGATCCATAGTACAACAGGGTGGTCCCCAGCCCTTCTGCTTCTCCCAGGACTGGCAGCATCCCCGTGGGTCGGGTGATGACTGGGGCTCTGCCACTGGTGAGGTTTCAGCTGGGCACTGTGATGCCCAGGCTGTTCCCTCCAGCTGCTGTTTTGTCTCTGGGACGTGGCCATGTATCCCTGGCTTCTATCCCAGCAGGCAGCCTCAGCTCAAGGGCATCTGTTTCCCCCTTCATCCCCTGGTTCCTCTCCTGGCAGGAGTAACATTCTTCCTCTCCTCCCAGGGCTGCTGCGGCCCGTGAGCTACAGCGCAGCCCTGGCAGGGAAGGCGGTGTCAGCGTTGGGCTCTTCTTGTACCTCTCCAGGACAACTGCCGCGCCTGCGACCCTTGTACCAGTACATCAACTTCGACATGCCAGAGCTGATGCACCCATCAGCAGAAGAAGATGAAGTCCCAGGGCTGGCACAGCCAAGCCAGGTCCCTGCAGCCCCCGGGAGGGCAACTGCTCCACAGCTGGAGGGTGAGCTCCAACGAGGTTTACCCAGCTCCTGTATTCCCCAGGGAGCTGGCCTTGTCCTGCCAGCGACCAAAAAGAGAGCTCATCCCCATATCTCATCCCCCCAGAAACAGAGGCTTTGCCTGTGCAGGTTTTGTCACCTTATCCTGTTTCTTCCACCCTTGCCCCTAGCGTTTAGAGGGGCGGCTTGGATGTCTCTGGGTCACCATTTGCAGCAGCTCTGCCCTTAGGTTTTCTCCTGAAGCTCTGAGGTGGCCCAGCCAAACAGAGCAGGACCCTTTCCCCCAGGGCAGCATTCTTCAGTTCGCTCCACTGTCTCCAGGTTCCAGAGCTGGTTTCCAAGACTTGGTGGGACAAAGCCATGGCCAGCCTGAGCTGAAGACGGGCCTGCTCCAAGCAGGAGGTCAGGCTGGAGACCCAGAGCGGCCATCCCACCCACGCCGCTGGGACCTGGCATCCTGCTGGTGCGAATACTCGGCCTGTCTCCAAGGAGGCGGCTGGGCTGTTGATGCACTCACTCCCCTTGCAGATACCTGGGCCAGCAGCGCTCCGGAGATCCCAGACCCAGGAGCGGGTGACAAATCCATGCAGGTTGATATTGATAGGATGCTCAGATACGCAGCTCACCTGGTGCCACCGCTCTTTCCTCAGTATAAATAGCCACGCAGCTTTCTGCCTCCTGTTTGGCTACTACAGCCTGACCTGCCCAGTGGTGATCATCACCTTGCCGATACAAACAGCTGTGGGTTTATTGTTTGGTGTTTCACTGGGGTTTTTTTCCTGGTTGCAGAGAACCTGATTTGCCTGGAAAAAAAGCAATTTTTCATTATAAAACTATACCTGCACGTCACGTGGCCTTAGGATGCATGTGCTGTCATTCCTTCCCCACGTGTGAAAAGTGGGAGTCTGGGGACCAGCCTTGAGCCTCGCTGCTGGAGGTCACCCCGCGCAGGGGACACAGGAGGGGACGGCGTGGCCCTGCCTTTCTGCTGCAGACGGCAGAGCGTGGCCCGGTCCCCCTCCACGAGCAGCTTCTACTACATCTGCGTTAGGTGAACAGGGATTGCACGGGGGAATCTAGACTTCACGACAGGGATCCGCCTCGTCCAAAGGAGTGCTCCTTCGGCCACCGTCCCACTCTGCCTGTGCAGGGCAGCTGGAGGCTGTAGCCAGCCTACGAGAAGCCTGTTTCACCTCTTGGTCAGGTCTCCTGCTCACCCAGGAGTCTTGGCACCCTCCTTCCTCCACTGGGATCACCGGGGTCTATCTGGAGATGTTCTGTGCTTCCTTCTACCCCCGTAGGAGTTGTACTTTAGGATTTTCTGCCCAGTACAAACGTACTGACGAAGGCACCAAGGAAGGTTCTCGGTTCACGGACAGCTTCAAAACTGGCATGAAATAAGCCAGAGCCGTCCTGTCTGAATGAGGGCGGCGACTTCCAGGTGAGCTCAGGAGACATTATCTCACCTGCTTTACATAGCACATAGACATCACAGACATTAGATGCTCAGAGCTATGGCAGGAACTCCAGTCCTCTACCTTTGCAGAGGTGCAGCTTTCCCTGCTCCACCTGCTATAGCTGGGAACACTGAATAAATTTCAACCATTTGCTTTCTTCATCCAGCTCACAGTAGAGATGAGATTGCGCAGAGCACAGGAGCAGCCACGCTCCTACCCTTTAAAACAGCATGTCAGTAGACTTGTTTCTATCAGAGTTTTAATGTGTTGAAAGTAAATACATACCCAAAGGTAAAGCAAATACCTGATTTACACACTGAGCAAAGAAAGCGGTCCCGTCAGTGCTATGGGGATTTTGCTTCTTCCTTGGTGCCCTCCAGCAATTTCAACAGTGAGTCACGCAGAAAAATAAAGATCCTGTTAATCACAAAAGTTGACATGGTAAGTCCAAGATAGGCAAGAGGTTCTCCGAAACCAGCTACTCAACAGCTGTAGTCTGAGGGAAACAGCAAAGAGGTGGGAAATAGATCTTCTGGTGGGACTCACTTTCCCTTGGTGATAAATGGGTGACGCTTGCTAGGACAGCACAGAGCTATCTCCTACTTTTTCCACACCCAAGCTACCCAGCTGGCAGCAAAAAAGCACAGAAGTAGGGAAGGACTCAACAGGTACTGAGCCCCAGCTGTAAGTCTCCTGCTCACATTTATTAGGATGGTTTCAGCTTGACCAAATCAAACACAAGCACGCAGCTCCATAAAGAATGCCCTCAACAAACACAACTTTTTATTTCTGTAGAAAACAAGATACTTTTCAGGAAGGACCAGCTTATGAAACAGCAGTTTGCATGTTAATATACATAAATACACAGGGTTACAATTTGGTGGGAAATACATTAAAAAAAGCTTTCAAGTACACAAAATAAATGTAGTAAAACTGGACTATCCCTTCCACATACCTGCCTCAGAGAGAAACATTTCTCAAATGAACTTCCCCCCACGACCCGCCAACAGATCTCTCCGCTGGACACAAACTGCAGGAGGGCGTGAGGATGGGCAGGGCCAGAGGGTTAATATCCAGTGTTCGAGATTAAGAGCAGACTTACCCATGACAGTTCAGTCCCCATTCTCTCAACTATCAGGATGCGTGTAGTGTGACAATTACCCAGCCAGCACGTCAAGAGAGCTGCAAGGGGTAGGAAATACCTCCTTACTCCCACCTTCAGGTCCCCGGAAGGTTAATGCTGTACAACTTCATTACCCACGACACCGTGGAAATCCTGTGACCCTGGGAGGCATTTATTAACAGTCACAGAAATGAGAACGTGGGCCCCCCCCCATCACGGCACCGGTGCTGCTGCCAGGCAGTAAACACAACCGACGGACACAGAGCTTACGGAAAAAAGCTGCTGGATGCAGGCAGCCTCTTGAGTAGAAAGAATAACGTCTACAGAAACGGAAGGATAGCACAAATCATCACAGACTTCCTGAAGATTTTCCTGCCAAGACATCGTCAACAGAGAATTCATAGCATCATTTAAACAAAATACCAGTTCAAATGAATTTGAAAGACATTTGCCACGTGCAGGAAGCCAAAAGGCTGATCCTTATGTTACAAACTTTAATCCATTCCTTCTACTTTTTGTCCTATAGGAGTTTAGAGACCTGTTACATCACTAAACTCTCTGTAAAATTTTACAAACTGAGGAGTAAAACTTTTATCAGTCTCCAAGAGAGAAGGAAAAGGCATCTGAACAACAGATACTCCCTGATCCTGGCTCTACGCGCTCTCATGTTAGAATTGTTAAAATAAGCAACCTGTGCAACAGGGGTTGTGTCCCATTTCCAAGCCATGCAACGGCAGAGATCCCATGCTTCACTTCAGCTACTGCAAGTGCAAAGGGCAATTCAAGTTTTCCTACCAGTCTCCAAGACAAAAATTAAACGTTTGCAAAAACGGAAACATTTAAAACTCTTTAAACAATTTAAATCAGAACAGTTTCTATCAGAACATGACATATTTTACACGTTTAAAAAAACCAAGGAACTCGGGTTATTAAATAAGAATCTACATATCTTAAAAACAGAGATTTTCTTTACATTAC